TTTCTTTTTTTTTCTTTTCTTTTTGTCTTTCTTTCTTTTTTTCTTTCTCTTTTTCTTTCTTTTTTTCTTTCTTTTTTTTTTTTTTCTTTTTTCTTATGACTTTCTTGTCTTTTTTTCTCGGTCACATTTCTTTTTTCTTTTTTTCTCTTTCCTTCTTCTTTTACTTGTCTTCCTTTTTCTTCTTCCTTTTTTTCTTTCTTTCCTTCGTTCTTTTGCTTCTTTCTTCCTTTTCATGTTCTTTTTTTTTTTCTTTCTTTCTTTTTCTTTTTCTTGCTAATTTTCTTTTTTTTTCTTTCATTTCTTTCTTTCTTTTCTTTCTTTTTTTTTGTTTCTAATAAACTCTTTTTTCTTTTTTCTTTCTTTCTTTTTTTTTCTTTCTTTCTTTCTTTCTTTTTTCTTTCTTTTTTCTTTCTTTCTTTTCTTCACTTTTTCTTTCTTTCTTTTTTTCTTTTTTTCTTTTCTTCTTCTTTCTTTCTTTACTTTTTTCTTTCCTTCTCTTTCACCTTTTTTTTTTTTTCTTTCTTTCTGCTTTTTTTCTTTTTTTTTTCTTCACCTTTCTTTTTTTCTTTTTTTTCTTTCTTTCTTTCTTTTTTTCTTTTTTTTTGTTCTCTTTCTTCCTTTCTCTTTTTTCTTTTCTTTCTTTCCTTCTTTCTTTTCTACTTGTCTTCCTTTCTCTTCATTTTTTTCTTTTTTTTCTTTTTCCTTCTCTTTCTCTAGTCTTTTCTTTCTTTCACATTTCTTTCTTTTTTTCTTTCTTTCTTTCTTTCTTTTGTTCTTTCTACTTGTTTTCCTTTCTTTCTTTCTTTTCTTTTTTTCTTTTCCTTCTTTCTTTTCTTTTGTTTTTTTTATTTTCCTTTCTTTCTTTTTTCTTTCTTTCCTTTCTTTCTTTTTTTCTTTTTCTTTTTTTGTCTTCCTTTTTCTTTTCTTTTCTTTTTTCTTTCTTTCTTTCTTTTTTTTTTTTTCTTTCTTTCTTTTGTTTCTTTCTTTCTCTTTCTTTCTTTATTTCTTTTCTTCTTTCTTTCTTTCTTTTCTTTTTTTTCACATTTCTTTCTTTCTTTCATTCTTTTTTTCTTTTTTTCCTTCTTTCTTTTTTTCTTTTCTTTCTTTCTGTCTTTATTTTCTTTCTTTTATTTTTCTTTCTTTCTTTTTCTCTTCTTTCTTGTTTTTCTTTTTTTTTCTTTCTTTTTCTTTTTTTCTTTTCTTTTTTCTTTCTCTTTTTTTCTTTCATTTTTTATTTTTTTTCTTTTTTTCTTTTCTTTCTTTCCTTCATTTTTCTTCTTTCTTTTTTTCTTTCTTTCTTTTTTTTTTTTTTTTCTACATTTCTCTCTGCTTTTCTTTTCTTTCACCTTTTTTTTTTTTTCTTCTTTTCTTTTCTTTCTTTCTTTTTTTTTTTTTTCTTTCTTTCTTTCTTTCTTTCTTTTTTTCTTTCTTTTTTTTTTTTTTTGTTCTTTCTTTTCTTTCTTTCTTTTCTTTTTCTTTTTTCTTTCTTTTTCTTTCTTTTCTTTCTTTTTTTTCTTTCTTTCTTTCTTTCTTTCTCTTTTTTTTTTCATTAAAAATTCTTTTTTTTTCTTTTTTTTTATTTCTTTTTTTCTTTTTCTCTGTTCTTTCTCTTCTTTCTTTTTTCTTTTCTTTTTTTTTTCTTTTTTTCTTTCTTTCTTTCCTTTCTTTCTTTTTTTCTTTCTTTTTTTTCTTTCTTTTTTTTTTCTTTCTTTCTTTCTTTCTTTTTTTTCTCTGCTACTTGTTTTCTTTCTTTTTTTTCTTTTCTTTTCTTTCTTTTCTTTCTTTTTTTTTCTTTCTCTTTTTTGTTTTTCTTTCTTTCTTTCTTTTTCTTTCTTTCTTTCTTTTCTTTCTTTTTTTCTGTTTCATTTCTTTCCTTTCTTTCTTTCTCTTTCAAAATTTCTTTCTTTTCTTTTTTTTTTCTTTCTTTCTTTGCTTACTTGTCTTTCTTTAGGTTTTATTTTTTTTTCTTTTTTTCTTTCTTTCTTTTCTGTCTTTTTTCTTTTTTCTTTTCATCTTTTTTCTTTTCTTTCTTCCCTTTATTCTTTTTTCTTTTCTTTCTTTTCCTTCTTTCTCCTTCCTTTTTCTTTCTTTTCAGTTCGTTTTCTTTTTTGTCTTTCTTTCTTTCTCTGTCTTTTCTTTCTTTTTTTCAACATCCTTCATTCTTGCTTTCCTTTCTTTCTTTCCTTCTTTTTTAATTTCATTTTAGGAAACCCTTTCCTTTCTGTACTTGTCTTTCTTTTATTGTTGTCTTTTTTTTCTTTTATTTTTAATTTTCATTCTTGTCTTTCTTTTCTGTCAAATTTTATTTTCTTTTTTACTTTTTTTCTTTCTTTTCTTTCTTTTTCCTTCGTTCTTTTTCTTATCTGTTTTTCTTTCTTTATAAGACCTTTTTTCGATTCAAATTATTATCGATTGCAATCTTTTCGGCTTGATTTTTTTTTATTTTCAAATTCATTTTAAATTTACCCCTTCGAGGTTCCGTTTGAATTAAGAATCTCGTTCACTTGAAAGATACCCCTGATCTCTATTTTTATATTTCATTATTTATATTTTTTTTCTTTTTTATTATATTAAAAAAATATAAAAATTTTATTTCATTTTACCCTTTTTAACTATTCTTATTGTTCATGTTTTATCGGCAGACATTCGAAATTTCTTCTTTCAGCAGAAAGGAACCCGTACGAGGTTCACGCAGAAATTTTATTTCGTTAACTTTTATAAATGACTTTTTCTCGTTCATACGGGCTTTACTTTTTTTTCTCTGAGCCTACGGCTCAGGAAACCCACGATTTTTAACGACCTTGTGTTTTTCTTTTCTTCCTGGGGGTGGCTAGATTTTTTCATTCTTTCTTTTTCTTTTTCTTTTTTTTTTTTGTTCTTTTGTTCTCCTTCTATGGGTAAAATATCAAGACAGACTGGGCCTTGGGTGACAACCAGTCTATGAGAAGGAAACCCTTAATTCAAACTACTAGCTTCCTTTTAGGTCCTGCCACTTTAGGCAAAGGCTAGAAGATAACAAATTCACCTCTGAGACGAGAGACGGCGTAACCTCGTTATCCGCGGTACAAAAAGAACCGGCAAGTCATTGCACTATTCTGCTCTTGAATGTCAGGAAACATGATTCAATGGGGTGATGACCACAGCGGCCCAAAATGTGCTAACTGATTAAAATGAATGTTCTCATTCATTATTTTATTTTATTTTCTTTCGTTCGTTTTCTGCTTTTTATTTATTTTTATTTTTTTTTCATTTCTTATTTACTCCCTTACATTTCTCATTATCAAAATCCTGGTTATTCTTTCGGACTTTTCATCCATGGCAGTTTATAGTTCGTCCCTATTATATCCTTTTTCATGAAAGTGCCGCTTAATATATATCTGCAGAATGCATCCAAATTCTACAATGCCTATGAGATGGTTTCCTAGAGAAATTCATCGTTACCTAAGCTCGCCTTTGCCCACCCCCTCCAACACTTTCCGACGAATCGGAGTCCCCATTCACTGAATACCTCTGATATGGGTGCTAGCTTGTCTGAGGGGCTTTATTTTTATCCCTTGGCCCTCCTTGATATGTTGAGAATGGCTTGGGGCATACGAAGCTTAACACAAATACAAGATGTTAGGACAGGCCCGATGAAAGTAGAGACCCTTATTTGGAATTTATCAAGAACCTCGAGATATATATCAAGAGCATGTTACCATCACCCATCATAATGGACGGCAAAAAAGGTTCTCTTCTTCTTTACATCTCGTATCTTCTTTGGACGTAGTTGATCATGGCTCTCCACCATTTCCTGTCCTTTGTACCTCTTAATAAATCTTGTCTTTCTGTTATCTCTCCGAAGCCTTGTTAAGCCACCCATTTACTCAAGCTTCTCCTTCTTCTTCTTCTTCTTCTTCTTCTTCTTCTTCTTCTATATCTCGTGTCCCTTCAGGACTTTGGTGATCATGGCTCTCCACAACTTCCTCTCCTTTGTAAAACTTAATAAGTTTTGTCTTTCTGTTATTTCTCCCAAGCCATGTTCTGCCATTCACTTAATTAAGCTCACCAAATCCTCTTTTACTGAAAGACACTTTGATTTGCAAGTATTTTCAGAAAATACAGATTGTTCTTTTAAAAAAATGTTGCATTATTCACAATGTCGTCACATTTAAAATCATTAAATAAATAAAATAAACGCGGCGAGTGATTAGATTCTTCACCCCTTATCAAACCTTATTTACATTATTCGGACTATTGTCCTCATTTTTGTCGCCATATTTATTACAACGTTTCGGCCGGTATACGCTCCGGACTTCTTCAGGTGGTTGGAATGTCGAACTGAACCCTTTATTTCGCTCACTGGGGTAGACTGTTCTAGTTCCATGTGCCATGTTTTAATGGATGTCAGTTATCACTTATCTCCTGTTAATTTTCCCTATGAAAGTTCTACACTGCCTTAACCGGGTATTGAATTCACACCTGTCACTGGATCTAACCAACGCCTTTATCCACTGTGCCATGTGTCCTTGATGACATCTGTGTATGATTTTCTGGGTATTATAAAACTAATGTCTTCAGCAACCATATTTTTCTAGTGCTCATATTGCAATTTTTGCTGTTATCAATTCATGATTTTACCGGAGCTCATATTGCAATTTTTGTTGTTGTTATCGCTTTTCTCTGGCACTCCGTATTACTGATTCCCATATTGTATTCATTTCTATGCATGGTCGGCTCAGGAGATTTTTGTGGCCTAGTATAAGTGCTGATTCCTTAAGTTTACGAATTTTCCAATGGTGTTCTTTATCTACGATCTCAACCTGATCCCACAGAGGGCGGTGATCTCCCTTCTCTCTCCATAAATAATAGATATGGCGACAAAGATGAGGACAATAGTCCGAATAATGTAAATAATGTACATAATACCTCATCTCAGAAATATAGACAGATACTTATCAAACCTTTGTGGGCTATTTAAAGCCGAAACCTATTTTGTATTAGTCTTACTGTCTTGTCACTTTGAAACGCCGGTTCTCGTACGATCGCTGAAGTTAAGCAACGTCGGGCATAGTCAGTACTTAGATGGGTGACCGCTTGAGAATACCAGGCGTTGTAAGCTTAGATGTATAGGTGGCGTAATGGATAATGGCTCTGAATTGTTGGGGTTTTTATATTCATTTATACGCAAAATATCCTTGGGAAATGCATAAATCTATCTCTTGTCCCACACCTATGGGTTAATTAGTAAGACTTTTGCCATCAAAACTATTATTATCTCCCCACACAAAAGTAAGCGTTTCACATTTTTCTGATACGTACAACATTGAAGAAACTTCCAAGTTTAATATTCCCACCGGTATAAGGCTTTGGGTCAATGAGATATGCAATCCAAAGCACCACGTGGCATCTACTAATGGTTCAATTCTGAGTATGACGATAAACTGCATCTGGCAGCAAGGCCTCTGATCGGAAGATTGGAGGTTTTGAGGAGCGTAAAACCACCACTTAATTGCTGTTGTTCTTAGATCCACCCCGACTCAGAGTGGTAGCACCTTTTAGGGTCCCAGCTATGGATAAATATTGAACACCCAAGCAAAAGCATAACACTGTGAAAGTATAAAAATAAATATTTTATATAAAAAAATTACCAATAATACCTATTTATAGTAAAATTGCCAACAATACCTAATAGAGTAAAATTACCAACAACACCTATTTATAGTAAAATTGCCAACAATAACTAATATAATAAAATTACTAACAATACATACATATTTATAGTAAAATTAACAACAATACGTATTTATAATAAATTACCAATAATACATTTTAAAGCAAAATAACCAGCAATACATTTTATAGTAGAATTACCAACAATGCATTTTATCTGCGTTCAAAATATATTTAGTTGAAGCCATACAATGGTATTCAAAATACTTAGATTTCGACATTAGATGACTCATAAAGGTTGATATACTGCTAAACAAAATCACCCAAACAACTAGTGGCTCATTTCTACTCCCTCTTTATGTGCATGTACCAAACTAGTAAATACGAGATTGTAAGTTAAGCTGTATATTCATTAGCTTCTTTTTTTTCTTCCATCATTTACCTTGTTTTTCTTTACCCATTCTCTTGGGGTTTTTCTCGTTTTATTTTTACTTTCACTTTCACTTTCTCTTTTTCTTCATAACTTTAGACCTCATCGATCATTTTAACAACTTATCTCCTCTTTGATTTTGAAAGGCAACCTCAAGCATTCAAGATGTGTTTTACCGACAATATTTAGAAATGGGGTCAAAGGATTCACATCCCAATTTTTCATCCCTCTCCTCTCTCTTTCTCTCTTCCTCTCTCTACGCTACCTCTTGCGCCAGTCTTTCCCTCCCAACAATCTCTCTTTATTTATATATTTGAATATCTCAATTTTTTTCTAATTCCTCTTACCTTCCTTCTCTCTCTCTCTCACGCGCGCGTACACACACACATACATTCTTTGTTGTATCTCGTGATGCATGCATTTTATCCTCCTTGCAATTGTTCACTTTTTGCCTGTTTCTCTCTGTCCGTAAATATTTCTCTACATTCTTAAATTAATACTTGTCCGTCTTTGTGCTTTATTTTTCTAAACTTATAATAATTTTTCTCTTTGCAATTCTTTCTCTTTGCTCTTCCAATTTCTGTAAAATTTTCTGTGTCCCTCTCTCTGTTTGCCTTTTTTTAAGCCTCTCTGTAACTTTCACTCTCTATCTTTCACTTTGTTTTTTATATCTCTCTCTTTCCTCTTCTAAATCTTTCTCTTATTTTTAAAAAAATCTCCTTCTCTTTTCTCTCTCTCTTTTTTCTCTCTCTCCCCTTGATTCTCTTACCCCCTTCTCAAACCCTCCCCTCTTTCTCTACCTTTCTCCCTCTTATCTACCTCTCTTTCTCCCCCCCTCTCAAATCCCTCTCTTCCTCCCCCTCAAAATACCTCCATAAATTCTCTATACCACCTCCTAAATCTCTTCCTCCCTCTATCTCTCCTCCCTCTCTCTCTCTCCCCCTCTCTACCTCCCCCTATCTCTCCCCTATACTTCTCTCCCCTCCCTCCAGATCTCTCTCTCTCTCTACTCTTCTCGCCAATCATTTTCGTCACGTATAAAAATATTAACTTTTCATAGTCCAATAAAAATATTCATTATTATATATCGTGTCTGTCAACTTTTTTTTTTCTGTCTTCTGTTCTTATTTTTCTCCTTCCCTCTCCTTCACCCTTCACTCACTATCTCCTCTTTCTCATATCGCATTTCCCTTTCTGCTTTCTTTTTCAACCCCTCCCTCTTCCTAATACCTATTCTCCTTCTCTTTCTAACGATTATGTCTCCAAGAACACCATTCCACTGGCCAGTAGCCCAATGGATTAAGGCGTTGGTCTGTAAATATGGCGAAATTGTAATTGCTAACAGTGCTCGTACATAAGAAATAGATGAGATATCCCTAGAGAAGGGCAACAGAATGAGAACAACTTGCCCCCTTGGATTAAATAAATGGTTCAATTCGAAATCCCCTGTACGTTACCCAGATGAATATGTATCAGATGAGGGCGGGAGAGCATAACGACATATTGTATAGGAAATATATATATATATATATATATATATATATATATATATATATATATATATGTGTATAATATCACTTTGAATGTATCTATGTTGTAACAATATTTGTATCTCCTTAGCGTTTTCTCTAAGATTTTGGTTTTTTCATTAAAACAAAATAAATAATAAAATATATGTATTTTTCCTCAGTTCCTTCTTTAAATAATTTTATAATATTTTAAACTTAATACAGATTAAATTTAAAATTTAAATTTGGTAATTTTTATTTCCAATGTTATATTAAAATTTAAAATTAATTAGAATGATTTCTATTTTAGTCTAACCCTAACATTACGACATTAATAATTATAACCAAAGTTCGTTGTCAAGTTTTTGGAATTTTTATATACTTGTATTTTGATTGGTCATTGGAGATTATGTAACAGCATTTCCCCTAGCAAGGGGTGTTTGGTTGATTTGAACCTTTTAAAACTCTTTATTCTACATTCGACACCCTCACTTGATAAGACACCAGAAGTGATGAAACAAAATGGCTATTTTTGTAGTGATGTTATAAAATCTTTATGTTATAATTTTTTTAAATAAATAAATTATATATATATATATATATATATATATATATATATATATATATATATATTCAACTCTCCTGTCGAATTTGACGTATAAGAGTCAAACAGATGAGTTCCTAGGAAACTGACAGCACGACACCAGCACATAATATTTGATTATAATGGTGAATGTTTTGTGCAGAACTATCCACATTTTTGAAGGGCCGAATACAGAGAAGCTCCATCATATGCTACAATCTTCATGGGAAAATTTGAGGAAACTCGTATATACCCCTTCCTCGGTAGCGACTGCGTATTCTATGCAAGATATATCGATGAACTCGTCTTTATATACACGGACAGTAACAATAAATTCACTCAATTCCTCATGACCCTAAACACGCTATATGACTCAGTTAAGTTTGACTACGAAAATTCCACAAGATCGGTTACATTATTAGACACCCGCATTTATATAGATAAAAACAAAATTACAGACAACACTACACACTAAAATCACCGGAACCCACAACTATCTTCACTTCCCACCCTAAACACTTCAAGGAGAACCTTCCCTATTCACAAGTACTTAGACTCTGAAGGATATGTTACAACATTGAAGAACTAAATAAACACACACAAAATCTCGAGCATCAATTCACAACAAGTGGCTATAAACAACACCTAATCAAGGAACAAATAAATAAAACAATTTCCACACCTAGAGAAGACACCCTCATGTACAAGATTAAAAGTAAACCAAGCCGCATTCCTCTAGTAACCACTTTTTTCTTTCCCCACTCTGCCTCCACTATCCCAAATAATCAAAAGTCGCTGGGAAATACTCCACCTCAAACCAAACCTAAAAATCTTGTTTGAGAAACCCGGCCTTCAAACATATCGTAGACCTAAGAACTTTAAGGAAATTATAGGGAGTAACCACATTTCAGAGGATAAGTTAATCTGTAATAAACCAAAAATAAAGGCAACATGATTGTCCCAACCATGTAACAACAAAAGGAGCTTATGCTGTAACCAAGTTAGACACAGCAATTTAGATCAGTCACTAAATCTACTTTCAAAATCTACCACAACACTAACTGTAAAAGTCATAACATGATTTACCTATTAGAATGAACACTATGCCAGAAACAGTATGTGGGGAAATCTGAATGGCCCTTTCACTACAGAATTGATAATTACCGGAATCGGATCAAGTCCGCTCTCCACGAAAGATTATTACCTGTAGATCATCATTTCCGCCGAGAAAAACATGATTTTAAAAGCCATGTCAAATTCACTATAATTGAAAAAATAGAAATAGACAGAAAAGATAAGATTAGAAAACTTTTAGTAGACCCTGAGAACAAATAGATTTTCCGCCTCAAAACACTCCATCCAGACAGACTTAATCACAAATTTAACAACATAGATAGAATTAATATATAACCCCATAAATCAAGCCCTACCCACATTTCTCACCCACAAAAAATTTATGCTTACAGAGGTGTTGAAGTCTCAGACTTATAAACACACCCATAATAATATACACACCCTAATGAACTAAATGATAACATACACTTAACACAGATGCATAATCCTTCCCAGGAAGCAATAAAACTGTCAAAATGATCCAGGGAATTCAGAGTAGCAAGAATCTATCCAGCCTCTATCTTAAAAACAACTTAAAAGAGGCCATTTGACCAAAACCGGTCGACTGGTGTGTGTTTTGTTTTAAATCTATTATGGCCTACAACATAAAACTTCTTGTTTTTAATGCCTTAATACGCTTTTGTACTGTTTCAAACATATTTAAATATTTAAATGTTTTGGAACGTGCGGTCGCAACGCTGAGTTTGAATTTAAATTTTAAGGATGTGCGTTTTTGTAAAAATATAGCAATAAGAGAATTCTTTTTTACTGGTAGATTTTCCGTGAATATGGCATGAACTATATTGTTCAATAATTACAGTAATGTCACACTTATTATCCGAGAGTTGCACGTTGGATCAGTTATTTTAATTTCAGTTAAAAGGTGCAAATATAATTTATAAATTCATGAATTATTCATACAAAACAATAACACATTTCTCATAGCATTTTTTCGGATTGCATCTCTATTTTCGTTGTCCTCTTATTACCGAGAAGTAAAAACAAGAACAAAATCTATTTCCATACCTGAGGATGTCTGCAGGAACAGACGAAAGCTTGTAAAAAATTAAAAAGACCTTATGCAACTGGAATTTATAAACAGGGATTATATCATTCATATACAGGTTCGGGGTTGGTGTATCTTATTTATGTGTTTGCGATGATGTATTCTCGCCATTTAAATCATTAACATCTATATTTGTTTTTTGTATGAATGATTCATGAATTTATAAATTATATTTGCACCTTTTAATTTAAATAGATATGAATATATATTTAGATATATATATACATACGAATACAGATTTAGATAGATCTATACATACATGCATAAATACGTACATATACAAATTCAGATAGATAGCTACGAATACAGGTTTAGATAGATAGATAGATAGATAGATAGATAGATAGATAGATAGATAGATAGATAGATAGATAGATAGATTGCGTAACTGAGATATTATGAATGCTCTATCCATTAATGTAATTCATCTTCGACGCTGGACATTTTCTGCTTTCTTCTAGTCTAAACAACATAACGCTCCCTTTTCCCAATGAGGATTGACACCTCAGTCAGAAACAAGTAACTGCTCCGCTTTTTGTCAGAGACTTGTGTGTGTGTGTGTGTGTGTGTGTGTGTGTGTGTGTGCGAGTGAAAGCGAAACCGACAGAGATAGAGGGAGAGAAAGAGATAGATAGCGAGAGAGTGAAAGAAAGATAGAAACCCAACGTATTAGCCATACTTGTTTGCTATCGCAAAAGCCTCTACCACCTTCTCGTACAAGCCGCAGGCATTATTTCCTGAGATAAAACTTCGTATTCTCGTGTGGATTCCCATCACATGGACATCATAATCCGAGTTCTTGAGAATAGCAGACGACCACAGGTGTTGGTTCCTGACAGAAGCAACCGTCCAAAGTTTATTTCTTGCTTCCGGTTTCAACTTTTCTTTGAGCGTCGACTTTCTCTGGAGACATTCGCTCATCTCAAAACAGAAACAAAACAAAAAAAATTGTCACGCGCAACCGTAGTCTTACGTAAATACAGGTTCCTGTCACAAACTATGTCCCCACTATTAAATTAATCAAGAATATTTCAAGTATAGTTATTGGCTTGGAGTGTCTCAATTGTTAGAGAATTGAACTGGTGGATGAGAAGAGTTAGCCCAATGTTATCTCAAGCACATTTTCATTCTATTAACTTCTTCTTCTTCTTCTTCTTCTTCTTCTTCTTCTTCTTCTTCTTCTTCTTCTAATCGTCCTCCTCCTTCTGTCGATATATAGATAAGAAAGTGACCGATAAGGAAGAGACAGAGATAGAAGAGATAGATAAATAGATAGATAAGGAAGAGACTAAGATAGATAGATAGATAGATAGATAGATAGATAGATAGATAGATAGATAGATAATGAACTGATTGAGATAGATAGATAGATAGATAGATAAATAGATAGATCTATCCAAATATGTTCATCTCTATCTCTTATCCTCTTCATTCTCTGCCTCCTTCTCCTTTCTCTTCTTCTTCTTCTTGTTCTTCTTCTTTTATAGATAAACACATTCACTACCAACCACGAGTTATCTCGTGGTTGCTATTGAATGTGTTTATCTTTCCTCCATGGCAAGAGACTAAGAATTAATTGTCCCGGAGTCGATCTTTCAAATCTACAAATCAATCATTCGCTCTTATATGGAGTATTGCTGCCATATATGGTCTGAATCCCCTTCTGTTTGTCTCAAGGTCCTTGATAAAATCCAGAGATGGATATGCAATGTAATTAGCCCTGATCTGGCATCTTGTTTGCCGTCGCCCTCTCACAGACGTGCCGTTGCGTCCGTCTGTCTTTTTTACAAATACTTTCATGGTAACTGCTCCGATGAGCTGCTTTCGCTGGTTTCCAGACTTCATGAATTTAAGCGTTCAACTAGGCTGGCATCTCGTCAACACCCTTTCACTGTCGAAACTGTTAAATGTAGACGTCTCTTCTACTCCAATAGCTTCATGTCTCGCACTTCTCGCCTGTGGAACTCTATCCCATTCTCCTGTTTCCCTGATAGCTATAATCTCTAATTATTCAAATGTAATGTCAATCGACGTCTCCAGATGCCTTGATCTATCCCCTATTCTTCTCTTCATCCTTTCCTCTATCACTCTTCTTTGCTCTCGCTCCAAATCTCTGTAACCCCTTGCATGCTAGTGGCTTCACGCCTTGCTTGGAGTGAAACGCTTAAAAAAAAAAAAATAAATAAATAAATAAATAAATAAATAAATAAAAATAAATAAATAAATAAATAGGAAGACACTAGGCAGATAAAACGGTCCTCGTACGATCACCGAAGTTAAGCATCGTCGAGCCTGGTCAGTAGCTAGATGGGTGACGGCTTGGGAATACCAGGTGCTGTAAGCTTGGATGTGCGTGCTGTGGAATGGATAACAGCTCGGAATTATTAATCGGTTAGTTCCAGTTCCAGACGTGTTTGTTATAGTCCCTTCACGTAGGTAAAGATATGAATTCTCGTCTTCACCAGCTAGTTATGGCTTAATTCGTAGAACTTTTATCTCCCAAACATTCTTGCAATTTAAAAATATTCTCGGGCTTCAAAAGGTTGATATCCCATAATAAAGAAATCAATGAATCAATCCTCCTCATCAAGTCGCCATTTATTACGCGAGCATTTATGACTTGGCTGGAAGCCTCGCGTCAGCGGATGCATTGACAAATTTACAACTAACATGTTGATCGAATTACGTCACTATTCACATTTAAGAGGAACAGACGTACAAACACGTGTTCAAAATCCGATTGAAAATGGACAATTCAATGCAGTTCAAATATTTAGTTTTAATTGATTATTTATTTACTATTGATTTCCAGTTCTTTTGGTTATTGAAAATGTAAGAGGGCGTCAGAAATGTGACAAAATGGCCGGCAGATAACACGTTGTAGAAAAATCACGATTCACTGAAACCAGATAAATAGATAGATAAGAAGGTAACAGAGATAGATAGATAGATAGATAGATAGATAGATAGATAGTTAGATAAGAAAGTAACAGAGATAGATAGATAGATAGATAGATAGATAGATAGATAGATATTAGCAGACTGAGATAGATAGTTAGATAGATAGATAGATATTAGCAGACTGAGATAGATAGATAGATAGATAGATAGATAGATAGATAGATAGATAGATAGATAGATAGGCAAAAAACTGTGATAGATAGATAGATGAAAAAATTAGCACATAAATAAAATAAATAAGACAAATAAATAAAATACAATAAAATGAAAAAACTAAATCAGATAACAATTCATGGATAGTAAGAGTGAGATATTTTCAATGATCTGAACGTTTTGTTAATAACGAAGAAAAATTGAAACAAATTTTCATAAATAAATCGTATGTTCGAACGAAATTGACTCGTTTATTTTTTTTTCTTTTTCCGCTTTTGTCATTTTTACGTTTTATTTTCTGTTTTTTTTTTTTGCGGGGGGGGTTATTTTTTATATATCTGCTCAATTATTTCTTTGAAAAATTGGAAATATCACTTAAGGGGTTCATTTTGGTGTTGTGAAGACGAATTTAGAATGAATTTAAAACGGTTTACACTGAAAAAAATGTCTCCGTCAAGGCCATTTCTACCAGTAAAATCCTCCCTTAAACAATCCCTCTCTATACACAGATAGAAATTTAGATAGATAGATAGATATTAACAGACTTAGATAGATAGATAGATAGATAGATAGATAGATAGATAGATAGATATTAATAGACATAGATAGATAGATAGATAGATAGATAGATAGATAGATATTAACAGACTTAGATAGATAGATAGATAGATAGATAGATAGATAGATAGATAGATATTAAATAATAATAGACATAGATAGATAGATAGATAGATAGATAGATAGATATTAACAGACTGATATATATATATATATATATATATATATATATATATATATATATATATATATATATATATTTTTATTAAACATTAGAACCAAGCAAGGCGGGAAGCCACTAGGACGCAAGGGGTTACAGAAGATTTGGAGCAAGATCAGATAGGAATGATAGGGGAAAGGATGAGGAGAAGGATAGTGGATAGATCAAGGCAACTGGGGATGTCGATTGACATTACATTTGAATAGTTGGACATTATAGCTCTCATATTATATATATATATATATATATATATATATATATATATATGTGTGTGTGTGTGTGTGTGTGTGTGTGTATCACTGTCATGAACAGACAAAAATTAGTTTTATTATTACCACTCATGATAATAAAAAGTAAAAATGAAAAACGGACTAGCTAACCGGTTTCGTACCTCGTTCTACAGAGTTAAATAAATAAATAGGGTAAGTTATATAATAAAAAAAAAACAATGGAAAAAGTTTATTGGTGGGAAGAAAAAATATTTAAATGGTATTTAGTCGCAGGCCTAATATAAACGTCCTTCTGTTTACAAAGGGAAGGCTTCAAAGATAAAATATAGATGGCCTCCAACACTTTTAGGTGGTAATTTGAGTGGGAAATGCTAAGGATGGTAAAAGCGTTCGCACTAAAACTATCAGCACAATTATGGTCATTTATATGGTGTTCTGCGATGCAAGACCCGTACATATTGGTCTGAATGTCCGAGTGTACTTCCGGTTTCGGATTTTCGCTGGAATGTGTTTTATTCTAGCATCTAGCCTTTGCGTCGTTCTCCCTATGTAGTGCGATCCGCAACTACATTTAAAAGAATAAATTAGTGAACTATTATGATGTGGAGGGAGAACATCCTTACGCATAGACGGAAGAACGGGCCCGGCAGAGAAAACAACACGAGTGTTAGCGGCAAAGTAACAATGTCGAACTGCGGTAGAAACCTGCTTGGCAAACCTATCACTGATACTACCTAGCCAAGGAAGGCGCAGGTACACAGGACATCTTTTTACTATAGCAGGTTTCACTTTGTTAAATTCAGCAATTTTGTTCTTAATAATTGCTTGAACAATGCCTAATGGGTAGGCATTGTTGCAGAGGGTAGAAGTAATAAACCTGAGTTCATCATCCAACTTGATGTCCGAACAGATAATGAGAGCGCTATGAGTAAGGGTCTTAATTAAATTAATTTTGCGTTTCCTGGGACAAAAAGAATCCCAACGGATATACAAACCAATAAACGTCGGTTTACGGTAAACAGAAGTAATAAAACCTGACGTAGATCTGCTGACGAGTACATCGAGAAAGGGAAGAGATGAATCAACCTCCTTTTCCCTGTGTAAATTTCAAGGCCGGATGTATATTGTTCAGGGACGCAAGAAATTGGTCCGCTTTAATCTCGTTATCGAAGAGACAAAAAGTGTCATCAACGTAACGGAAATAAACGTCAGGTTTATCAGGTTTTAGTAGTACACTCTCTTCCTGGAACCCGACAAAGAAATTTGCTAAGATGGGCCCCAAAGGGGAACCCATCGAAACACCACCAATCTGCCTGTACATGATGCCGTCGAAACTGCTTTCTTTTGTAAACAGAAGGACTTTATATTAGGCCACCAACTAATTTTCTTTTGACCAATAAACTTTGTCCATTGTTTTATATATATATATATATATATATATATATATATATATATATATATATTTATCTCGATTTAGTTCTGTTGATTTATCTACGAAACAGTTTAGCTAGTCCGTTTTTCATTTTTAATTTTTTTTTATAGTGATTGGTTATAATTTAACTTTTTTTTGTCTGTTAATAATAATAAAACTAATTTTTGTCTGTTCATGGCAGTGATAAAATTTTGTACCACCAAACATATATATATATATATATATATATATATATATATATATATAGAGAGAGAGAGAGAGATTAACAGACTGGGATAGATAGATAGATAGATAGATAGATAGATAGATAGATAGATAGATAGATAGATAGATAGATAGATAATTTCTACTATATCTTGGCTACAGCTGCCCAGTCTTCCTGTCCTTATAGAGTTCAAAAGCGACTACGGTTGTAGGTGATTTTCCACCATACATCCCCTTTCCTCAGAGACGAAACGTCTTAAGCATCGATCGTTGTTTCCATGAAAAATGTTCTTACGAGCTACATTCCTTGAATAAAACTAATGACGACATTGGCGACTTCCCGAAGAACTGGTACTTTGTTTTGACTCTCGGTATGATGTTTTTCCGATCACTACAATCTTAAACTCTTCAAGTCAAGGGTTCATCGTTATCTTTCCTACATAGCCTTATTAACTACGCTTCTAGCTTGCTTTCTCTTCTGCTCATATCACACCATAGAGTAAGAATTTACCTACTTATTCACAAACGAATGAAATTACTTTTTTTATTAGAAAATCTTGGTAAAAGTATTTTTTTTATTTTTCATCTGTTTCTCCCTCTTACTTAATTTTATGAAAGATTGAGAAATTCATTGAGAATGGCAGAATTTTTTAAAGAATTTAAATCATCGAGATTTTTTTCCCGAAATCAGATCCAGTCTCACCGAAAATCCGTTCTGAATCGAAAAATATTAAAAAAAACGCAATAAAATTACATTATCTAATTAGAGAAGCTTTTAATTGCTTTTATGAATAATATATATTAAAGACAATTTTGTCTAAAAAGAAAAAATCTTTTCGATGAAAAATGAATTTTTACTTGATTTATTTTCAATTATTTTACAGTTTAAAATTGAATAATTTATAAAGTTTTTGAATCTTTTAAAGTTCAATTTCAATAATTCTTAGGGAAAATTGTTATTAAGTAAAACTATATTTACTAATCATATATTTTTTAAGTTTATTATAATCTGAAAACCCCGTCTATTTTTAAAAGAATTCCAATTTGTTTTTATATATGTATATTGATGCAAAATTTCTGAAGTATGGATGTACAAACTGATAAATCAATTCTTAAAAGGTCACGTGTTTTAAGTGTTATCCCTCCTTACGGAAAAACCAAAACCCTAATGAAATTTGTCGTCTGCTACACCATTCTCGATTATGAACACGTTCAGCGGTATATACGCCCGTCAGCGCATCGATTAATGCGTCTGAAAGACAAAATCCTGTGGTTAGGAAAATGATTGTATACAACAATTTATTCCATAAGTAAGTAATATTTGTTTCAAATCAGATTAACTGAACATTAAATTAGAAAATTCTCCTCGAATAACGTTTCAGAAATATGTATTTTATTTTTGCAAGATTTTTAAAACAAGAAATTAAGTTTAGTTTACAAATGTCTAAAAAATGACTGACGCCATCGATTTTACTGAAAAAAAAGCAAGCCTATTCCAATCAATATAATTTTTATTTGAAATAGACCTAAGTATTTTGCTTCCCGGGTACAGTAAATTAAAACTAAATTAAAAGCACCAGAATA